TGTTATTAACACAAAGAGGCTTAGTAACAAATTAAGTACCAGTGACCAGCGTTGCTTTCTCAGGCCACCAAATCCCTTTATAATGCCAGTGGCATGAAGGAGACATGACCTGTGTCCCTTTATCCTAGTTCAGTGAAGTACAGTTTCATGCCTTCAACTCTGCAATGCTAAACTAATGCATTAAATTAGTCCATACACCACTGAACTTGTTTCTTTAAGGCTGAAGCTGACGGCTTGATAGTATAAGCTGAGGTACCTATGGGAGGCGCCTTCCCAGTAGCGCTCGTTTCACTGTGTAGGGAGTTGAATCCAGGGTGCTAAATTAGCAAAAAAACCGGATGCAGCACACAGAGAGGGAGAAATGAGCTTGTCCTCTGCCAGTTTTGCTAGTTGAACTCGCAGCCCGCACAGTAAGATCCAAGGTCGATCGAGGGGAGGAGGAGGAGCGCACAACTGGGGACGACGCGGGGCCGCGAAGCCCCTGACCCGAGTTGGCCGGAGCTGCTCTGAAGGCCCGAGCTCTGGCTGAGCAGCAGTGCTGGCCGGGCTCCCGCCATTCGCTCCCGGCCTCTGCCCCCTCCTCGGTTTTGCAGGAGGGGTTGCCAGTGGAGCAACACAACAAGCTGGACTGGGGAAATGATCCAGCTTAAAAATAGCCCTGTAGGTTTTTTTCTTTTTTTGAAGACCCATTTATGTTTGGGTTTTGGGGTGGGGTTTTTTTGTTGGTTTGTTGTTGTTGGGTTTTTTTGGTTTTGTTTTTGGGTTTTTTGTTTTGTTTTGTTTTTTTTTTTTTTAAGCCAGATGAATTCCTGCATCTGGCTCACCGGATTGCACAGGTACACGCACAGGTGCTTTATGCTTATTCGCTTTAATGCACTCAAAGTGCAGCACAAGGGCAGGGAGGAGCTGGAAGAGCTGCTGAAATGGTGGCAGCTTGGTTTACGCTGATTCCCTCACCAATTTAAACTGTGTGCGTTTGCGTGTGTCATTTCAACAATGTGTTTCTGAAGTTCGTGCTGTTTCTGTCAGTGCGTTCAGTCTTGCTCATCTCAGGTGGATTATAGCTGAAACCCTCCTACTCTCTCCAGATGCCTTGGAAACAGGTAGCCTAAACTGCTGTCTCCTTGGCCATTTTTTCAGTCTCCTAAAAGTTTGTTTATTACGGAAATAAGGAATGGGGAACAAACAAACAAACAAAAACTTGGTTAAAAATGAGCACAGCAGCAGATGATGGCAAGGCCGGTTGCTGGCTGCATGCTCCAGTGGTACAAGGCAAAGACGCTGCTGCTGAGGTGACCGGTCTAAACTCCGTGACAAATGAAGGGTTAACAATGCATGGATTTCAAGGGGCTCTGTTTAGTTTCCTTTGGTTTTATTTTCTTTTTTATTTTACTTTATTTTTTTTTGTTGTTGTTTTTTGTTTAATTTCTGTGTTCTGGCCACACCCAGGAGAACCGTCTGCTTTTGATTTCTCCCTTTACGGTTACATGGTAAATTTTCTTTCTCATTCTTCAGAGATGGAAACGTTCAAATACTATATATATACATTTATTATTTTTTTTCACGGCTCATCATGCTGCTTGTTATTTATTGCAGAGTCTGAGGCCAGACTAAAAGGGTGGCAGTTACTCGGTCTCTTCAGGCCCTTTGAATAAACCTTTGGGTAAAAAAGTGTTAGTCTGGCACTGCAAATTACTCACCAGTCCTAAAAATGTTTGCTGGGGTTATTTAGTGTTTGCTGGGTACAGTGAGGCTTAAACTTTTTTTCTGCTTGGGAGAAGTCCCTGGCAGTTGCTGGTGGACAGGAATTGTTGAAAATTTCAGCCTTCTTATCATAACAGCCTTATTAAACCCAACCTATTTGTATAATCGAAATTGTAGAAACCTTAAGTCTTTTTTTTACCCAGGATTGTATCTTCCCTTCTTCTGGCTCCATACCTACTCCTGTGGAGCAAACCAGTACCTGCTATAAAGCTAAGCTAGTAAATATTGGTCATCTGCCACCTCTTTTTTTCTTTTTTTTCCAAGGGCAAGACAACCTTGGGAGGGAAAACTGAGAATTGTTTGTTGTATATGTATTTAGGTACAAATTAATCCCTATTCTTTACAGGTCATCTGTGAGAAGGAATTAAAATTATATGTATGTGCTTTTTTTTTTCTCTCCCACCTCAAAAATGTGTATATATAATTGCTAGTTTTTAAAGTTAGAAATAACAAAAATGTCAAGCATGGCTCACCTATTTTTCCTGATGAAAATTTGATTGTCTGAGAGATGCATTAAGAAGACAAACAAAGGGGGCACAAATACTGACTCTGCCATAGTCAACTATGTAAGGCGTTAATTCAGCATTGACATTAAATGGTTCTCAACAAAGAGAGTTGCACAAGCTAAGGACTGATCTGTTAACAAAACAAAAATTGTGGTTAATTAGTTATGTTGATCAGAATCGGATTAATTCTGTTTTAATTCACATTGTTAATTATTCTCATACAGTCTGCATGTGGATTGTACCCTACCCTTGGGTTAACTTATTAAGAATAGTGAAAATTCCTAATCAGTTTAAAGATATTTAATGATAATGTGTTTTTTAAAATCCCATGCAGACTTCACTAATTGCAAACAAATGCGAATTAAAATAGTCTTAGTTTGGTTCTAGCTTGCACAGATTAATGTCTAAAAAATTACCTTCCCTTTGCTCTTCAGCTTTCAGTTCACATCATCACTGAAGACATAAATTTCATTTGGTCTCCACAGGCTTGTCTAGAACAAACAGAAATTTTAATGTAAAAAGAGAAGAGGGAAATAGAGATTCCTGTTGCAGTCTTTACCTCCCCTCCTCCCCCAACCTTTTAAAGATGCTTTTTCCCCATTATATAGAACCAGAGGGAAAGGTGTTGCTCTATTTCTCAGTCTTGCCTTTCTCTGTAGGGGTTCTTTGAAGCAGACACGATACCCTGGCCCTTCATAATCAGCTTTGCTATTACACCCCCCGCACTCCCCTGGTTCCCTGCGACATATTTGAGTTATATGCGGTTGGGCTGTTTTATTAGCTCCGATCTCTTGTAGCTCCAATTTTAATTCATTTAAACAGAAAACTTTTATGCTGTTCTGAAAAAGGCATCAGTTTGTTATTTATATAGCTTTTTATTTATAGCTGGAGATATGCAATTATCTGAAGCTTTAGATTATTGGGTTGGAGCCTAAAGGAGCGCTCTCGTTGATCTCAACAGTGCAATACTTGGCTAAGTTCTTTTATTATTGCTGTTCAGTGGAAAAAAAAAAAGTGGTGGGGGGGGAACAAACCCTGCATTTTACAAATGTGTAACAGTTTTGTGCTGGAAACCTAGCTGTGGATGATAAAGGCCAGCATGTGCGAATGGCTTGGGCTTTTTAAGATTAGTGTTGCAAAGACCTTTAAAAAGCACTCGGCCTGCTTGTGTCTTGTTGCTAACAGTGCTTAGAAATCAAGATGCTTTTTCCTGGGGGGCTGGGGTGGGGGGAGTGGTTCAGTCCGTATGTATCAACCCCGAGCTGCACAGAGGGGCTACGAGGCTAGCATGCCATTTCCCTGACAAGGCATAGCAGTAGATCACTCACATAACCTTGCTCTTCAGTTAATATCAAGAGTTTCCATTGCATCAAATGCAAGCTTTGTTTTTCGTGCTGCTGAGGGTATCGGAGCCAGCAGAGATTAAAAAATTATGTTAAACTGCTATTTGCTTTATACCAAGCCATGGGAACCAGCTATTCCTGTTCTTAAGATACCCTAAAAGCAGAATACAGCAAAGTTTTTTGTTTGGCCCTGCTCTCTGTAATGGCATGAAGAATATCTCATCACAGTTGTCTGTAGTAAGGAGACCATTTGTTACTAGTTAAAATCTGAATTCACCTAGTCACACTGGCTCTGTTTTAACGTCAGTGCACTCGTCTCCGTGGAAGGAAGCACGATCTCGTACCCTGCCCTGTTACGCGACTGCATGAGTTGGCAGCAGCATGAGCATGTAGGACAGGAGCGTTGCATGTGCCTTCATGGATGCAGTGAACTTAAATTAGTCTAACTAAAGGGACGCTTTAGTAGTCCTCGAGCCTTTGTGGTTGCTCCAAGCAGGGCACGTCAATTTTTCCTCAAACTTCGTGGTCTAACTAGGCAGAGATTTGTTACTATCCACAGCGCAGAGGTTGCCATCTCAGAACAAAGCCAAGTAAGATGGGTAGCAGGGTGGGAGGGAGGTAGCAGTAGGTCAGCAGTGTCAGACAAAACCTGCCTTTACCGATGAATTGTTCTTTAGATGTTTATATTTACACTCAAGTCCAACACAGTACTTGTAGATAGGAAAATTTTGAAACCGGAATACGTGATACTCTTAAATCTTCATGTTAAGTAATGTTTATTTGATGGTGCCACCTAGAAGCCCTGCTTACTTTCAGGGCCCCATGCGTTATTAGGGAAGTTAACAGGCGTAGGAGTAGACATCAGCTGTGCCCCGAAGAGCTTACAAGGGATGCTTTACAAACAGCCCTTCCTCTCAGCAGTTTTCTAAGGTAGGTAATTATTATTGTCTCCATTTTACAGGTGGGAAAAGCAAGGTTCAGTGTTTGATTTGCCCAAAGCTTCGCAGAATTCCTGGTGCCAGGCGTGAACTCAGATCGCTGCTCACTCTCGTAGCAGTTTCTCAAGAGAACGAAGTGCTGCTCAGTGTCGATGTCCTGTACTGTGTCTGGGGTGGGCGGGGGGTCCTGCAAAGCATGTGTGTCAATTAGCAGAGGGGAGAGAAGCCCCGCTTGGGCTTGACCAGCTTGCCTATGTTGGAGCAGGGTTTAGTGGTTTTAAACAAACAAACAAAACCAAACAAAATTGTCTCGAGTAACTTTGTACTTCTTTTTTGGTCTGGCCTCAATTGCTTTTATGTTTTCTTTTTTTTTTAATTACTCTTATTATGATTACAGTTCCTTTATTTTATTGAATTTAATTTCTTTCATTTATGAAACATGCATGAACCAACAATGTGACTCTAGGAGGTTATTGCTGAGTTGTGCTGATGTTGATTTCATACTGTGATATTTTTTCTCTATTTACCTAGAGATCAGTATTTCAATATATAACGATGTGCATGTTTTCCCCCCTTCTCCCGCTGCATGCAGGGATTCGGGTTCGTAACTTTCGAGAATAGTGCTGATGCAGACAGGGCCAGGGAGAAATTACACGGCACCGTGGTAGAGGGCCGTAAAATCGAGGTGCATGTCTTCAGTAATTCAATTTCTTCTTTATATTTATTCTTTTGATTTCTTTTTGTGTCTTGCCTCACTTATTTCACATTTGGATCCCAGTCTCGTGTGTGCGTGTGTGTTTGTCTGTGTCCTTCACCTCCCTGCACTGAAATGTATAAAAATTTACACCCCTTATGGAATATTTTTATTGTTGTTTTGGGTATTTTTTCTTTTCTTTTCTTCTTTTATTAAGTTTTTTTCCTACCCACTCCAAATTTTTGCCCTTCTGCTGTCTTGATTTTTCCTTTGCTTCAGTTTGCGAGGCTCCGATTTCCTGTTACAGACCTGAACAAAACTAACTGAAAGAGTACTGTCCGACTTCTAACTCTGTGTCCAAAACAGAAAGCAGGGGGCCAGCCAGTATCCTCTCTTTCCTCTGAGGCCAGTTCTCCTCCATGCAAGTGTGAGATGATGCCCGTGGTGGGAGGGGAGGGGAGACAAGGGGCAGAAGCCCCGAGTGGGCTGTGCTATACACACTGGCGGTTTCTTGACCTGCCCACGGTCAAGAGTAAGCTTGGTGAAAGCTAATCCTTAAAGTTTCTAGCTCTCACCACAGGGGAGTGAAGGGTTAATGTTGGCTGGCCAACATGGCCATATATTGGGCATGCCTGACCAGGTTGGTGTTCCACTGTGTTGAAGGCTAACTGGCATCTTCCCTCTCTCCCTCTTTCTTAAAAGGAAAAAAAAAAGAAAGAAAAAAAAAAGTACAAATATTAAAACAAAAAA